AGTTCTTCGTTCTTGTTCATTATGCAGCTTTGGCCTTCTTGGGGCAGATACGGATTACTTAATCCTATCCCATCTCAAAAAACCATAACCTTGCCCTGGTGTAAGGCCATTGCTTGGGAGTGTGGCAGGTACAGTGGCCAGGAGAGAGTGGCCTTTCCAGGGCTGGGCAAATGGTGACTGATGGTGGATGCTTTGCCAGCTTGCATTCTGGCAGGCTCTTCACTGAACAGGGCATTAAAACTTGTGGGAGACCTTTGGTCTCTAGCTCTTTTTGCGTTCCCAAAGTTTTGCCAAGAAGCTTGAAGATTTTATGATGTGGTTATGTAGAGAGGGAGAGGCTATATGGTGAGCCTGTTAGAGACTGAATTAATGCCCTGGTTTGGCTGCTGCCCAAGGCCCCAGGGTGTGCCATCCTTGGTATCGACTGGTAAGGAAGTTGAAAGCCATTGTTCTGCCCCTCACACTTTATGTCTTGTCTTGGCTTCACATTCATTAGAAACTATTTGCTGCGATCTTTTGGTTCGAAGCCGAGCACATTAACTGTCGCACCACACTATTTTACATGAGGTGTTGTAGGTCACACAGCTAGCTCAGGCCATGTCTTCTCACTGCCATGGGATTGATAACGACTCCCAGTGACCCTGTAGGAAAGGGTAGAACTGCCCCGGTGGGTTTCCAGAACTAATTTTTATTTCCCTTTAGCCAAGGCGGAGTGCACTTTATTGTCACCAAGGCCTTGGTTTCTGTTTGGGCTGTGGTGGAGTAGAGAAGCTCTCTCCAGCCTGGTTTTTCTCTCTCGGAGCAGCTGGTGGTTTCGAACTCCTGACCTTGCAGATCATAGCCCGGTGCATAACTGCCACACCACCAGGGCCCCTGGACACAATATTAAATGTTCGTCATTAGAAGTGTAGCTTAAATCTGCATTCTTCGTGTCAGTGGCACTCTGGAAAGTTACCTTGGTCTCTTCGCCAGTTGGACAAAAGCAGGTTTAGTCGGCACAGACTAATACGGCCGTGAGAATGCCATTTGCAGTCTCAATGTCAGGCAGCCTCAGTTGCACTCAGTTACTAGAAGATTTGGCGAGTTTTCCAGATTCTGTTCTTGCCTCACCTTTTGTGTGATTGAGTATTGCCGGAACCAAGTGAGTCATTTACAAGATTGGAGCCGTCAGAGTATCTAGGATGGAATTGTGGATTCTACATCTTGCTCCCTTAAGAAGCTAAGCTATCAAATAGCTACAAAGTCTCTCTATCCCCAGTAGGCAGGTGTGAGTGTGTGTGTTTAAAGGTACACTCTTCAGCTGAATATGAAAGAGCGTCTGCGATAGAGAAGGTGGTACCAGACCAGGGCAGGCATTAGTGAGAGGTTTGGAGACTAGTGTCTACCACAAAGAATGGACTTGACTGAACTGCAGAGGGGGCAGTCTTTTGGGGGAGCAGTGAGGAGGACTTGTGGCCAAAGATTACACCACAAAAGAAGGAAGTGTGGGGTAGTTAATGGATTCAAAACAGAAGAGGTATAACCTAGCATTTGCTTGCAGCAAGAGAGCAGGAGTACTGGGAGAGGAAATTGGGAAGAGGAGCTGGTAGTTTTCTGTTGGCTGGAGTTGGGGTTTATGTTTTAAAAACGTGTCTAATTTTATGTCTAATGATTACATTTGTGACTTAGGTTTTTGAATCAGTGATTTCCCCCAGTTAACCTATCTTTGTTTAAATCTTTTGACGTTTTAAGTGTGCTGTTAGTAACTTTTTCTGTCAAACTTGGCCTCCTGCTTGCACTGGAAGAGATTGTTTGATTTAAAGAAATACCCCCACCTTTTTTTAAAGTGCCTAATTTCTGAGTGCTTTGCTTTCTAATTTTTTGTTTTGTTTTTTTGTTTCGTTTGAATCATAGGCCCTTACCAACAGCACATTATGTAATTCTGGAAATTCTTCTATTTATAGAGGATATTATAAGCTCGCTTGAGAGCTTGTGAAGCGTTTTTGGTCAGTTTAGCAAGTGAGAGGCTGTGCTGGATCTTGGACCAAGGATTTTTGTTCGCAAGTCCAGTGCTCTTTCTAGCAACTCAGCTAGCTTACTTGGAGTGACATCCTTCCTGGAGAACGAAGAGGAATTACAATTTAGGAAAGTTTAATTTCCACTTAGAATGGTTGGTGCTTGCTTCTTTGCTGACCTGGGAGGGCATCTTATCACATAGGTCAGAGCGGTGATGTTTCCCCTTAGCCAAGGCTGAAGGCCCTTCACTGTCACTAAGCCATGGATTTCTGTTCTGCCTGTGGTAGGGTGGGAGTATCAATTAATTTTGAAGTGTGACTCCACAGAGAACAGTTCTGGCCACTAGAACTGAGTGGTGCTTGCTTTCATCTTGAAACTCTGATCTGCTAATGTGGATTTGAGAGATGACTGGTCATCTTGACTCGAAAGATAGAAAGAGGATCCAGAACAGAACTCCAGTTTATCATCTTTTTAGAACAGTTGACAAAGGAACTGCATGCTCTTATTCAAATTACCTTTTGTCAAAGCTGAATCTTAACGGCTTCCCCCTGCTGTTAGGTGTATTGCCACCTCATGACCAGTCCATGATTATCCTCATCCCCAGATCTACCAACAGGAAGGCAGCAGCTTCTGAGATCTGGATTATTAATTTCCTATTTAAAAAAAAAAGCCATCTGGCATATAATTCACAGATCATGCAATTTAGTTCAGTTACATTAAGATGTGTTGTACAGTTATCACCACAATCAATTTTAGAACATTTTCTTCGTTCTTGTACTCACTGTTACTAACTCTCCATTTCCCGCCACCCCCCAACCTCTGCCACACCCCCAAGAAACCATTAATGCCGTTACTGTCTCTGTCGGTTTACCTATCCTGGATTTTATATATAGGAAAACATACCCAAGAAAAAGAAAGCCCTAGCAAAAATAACAATGTAAAACAAAAGCATGAACTGGAAACAGAATATTAAAAACTCACTGCCATCGAGTTGATGTAACTCATAGCGGCCCAATAGGACAGGGTAAAACTGGCCCTGTGAGTTTCCAAGACGACAATATAACTGTTTACAGGGATAGAAAGACCTGTTTTTCTCCCAAGAAGTGACTGGGAGTCTTGAACTGTGGACCTTGGTGATAGCAGCCCAATGCATAACCACTAAATTTTAACCTAACTGCATCCACAATAGTCCATTTTCCAGTGCATTCGACATAAGAGCAAAGCTGTTTACATCCATGGTCTGTGATCAGAGGGTATATTCACTGGAGGCTTAATCCACATGTATTTTCCCTTCACTTTTTTTAACGGAAACTTTAAAATAGGTCAAAAGGGAGATGAAATGATAAGGTACTACCTTTTACTCTACGTCTACCATAATAGACTTTACAATGCTTTTAGGGTCTGATCACAAAGATATTCACATTCCTCAACTATTCACCAGAAGCTTTAATCCATGTGTGGGCCCTACAAATGCATTGTGGGCTTCCTCTGTCATCCATTGCCTTCTGCAAACTGGTGTTTGCAGTTTAAGCTCTGATACCATTCCCTCCTTCGGATTTGGACTTCATTATTTACAACCCTTGGATCACACAGGTCACTGCTTTTTCCATGTGGCCTTAGTTGACAAAACTGCAAGACCCTAGAGGCTTTTCTTTCTGGCAGCCAAGCACCATCTAGTTTCTTCACCATACTCTGCTGAAGCATGCATATCTTCATGAGAGTGAGCATCAAACGGCCATGTCACAAAAACGAATTGTTCAATTGTTGCTAGAATTAACCACTCCCTATTTTGAATTTCAAATATTTATCTCTTCTAAAGGAGACTTCATGTTGTTGCTGGGTAAGTGTTGCACTTGTAACCACAGGGTTGATGGTTCAAACCTACCAGCTGCTCCATAAGAAAGATTAGGCTATTCTCCCACAATAAATACTTACAAAAGCCCTGGAAACTCCATACAGGCTTGCTGGCATTAGGTTTGCCAGACATAAACCTTTTTGGGCTTCTTTACCAAAGTTCACACTTGTCTACCCTCTAACTAGTGGCATCCCCACCCCGTGTTGCCAGGTGCCATCAAGTTGGCTATGACCCTGTGCACAACTGAGGGAAACACTACACAGTCCTGTGCCATCCTCACCATTGCTTTCATGCCCGAGCCCATTGAAGCCAGTGTCCATCCATCTTGTGGAGAGCTTGCCCCTCCTTGGCTGCCCCTCCGCTTTACCAAGCATGATGATGTTTTCCAGGTACCAGTCTCCGGACAGTATGTCCAAAGTATGTAAGATGAAGTCTTGCCATCCTTTCCTCTAAGGAGTACTCTGGTCTTGCTTCTTGAACACAGCGTTTGTCAACCTGTGGGTTGCTGCCCCCTACCCTTTCACAGGGGTCGCCTAAGACCATATTTCCGGTTTCCGGTGGTCTTAGGATAAGAGACAGCGCTCCTCTATCGTCTCCAGGTGGGTCCACCCACATGCAGATACGCCCACATACTCGGTCACCACGACAGGGTCGCCGCATTAGGAAGGTGAGAACCACTGTTCTGACAGATCGGTGTGCCCTTTTAGCGGTCCGTGGCACTTTTCCATGTTCTCCAGCACCACAATTGACATGCGTCTGTACTTCTTCAGTGTCCAACTTTCACATGCTTATGATGCAATGGCGAAACACTATGGCTTGGGTTAGGCGCACCTTAGGCGTCCTCAAAGTAACGTCCTTGCTCTTCAGTACTCTATAAAGAGGTCTTGTGCAGCAGGTTTACCTAATGCAGTATGTCTTTTGATCTCTCAGCTGCTGCCCCTGGTAACTATCAAAGAATGTTTCTTTTAGTATGGAAACCTTTTCTTGACCTTTTTACAGTAGTGGTATCATAGGTATTTGTCCTTATCTTTTTGCTGTTGTGGAAAGTGGTGTGTGGCTTTGATTTCTCTCCGATATGTACCAAGTGTAGAGGGGTTGTTGCATTCTATGGAATTTCTAAAGTGCCTTGTCTTTAGTCCTGTTTTTGTGCAGGGCTGTCATTATGTGCATGTCATTGATGTCATTTGTGTGCATGGAAGATTCCTTTCCAAGATTTCCAGGCTTGGTTCTCAGTGTTTATCTTTTTGGGGTTTTGCAGGTGACAGAGCTCAACGAACCTCTCTCCAACGAAGATCGAAATCTGCTCTCCGTGGCCTACAAGAATGTAGTTGGTGCCCGGCGGTCTTCTTGGAGGGTCATCAGCAGCATTGAGCAAAAAACAATGGCTGATGGAAATGAGAAGAAGTTGGAGAAGGTAAAGGCTTACCGGGAGAAGATTGAGAAAGAGCTGGAGACCGTTTGCAATGATGTCCTGGCTCTGCTCGACAAATTCCTCATCAAGAACTGCAATGATTTCCAGTATGAGAGCAAGGTGTTTTACCTGAAGATGAAAGGCGATTACTACCGCTACTTGGCAGAGGTAGCTTCGGGGGAGAAGAAAAACAATGTGGTTGAAGCTTCTGAGGCTGCCTATAAAGAAGCCTTTGAAATCAGCAAAGAGCACATGCAGCCTACACATCCCATCCGGCTGGGCCTGGCCCTCAACTTCTCCGTGTTCTACTATGAGATCCAGAATGCGCCTGAGCAAGCTTGCCTCCTAGCCAAACAAGCCTTTGATGATGCCATAGCAGAGCTGGACACACTAAATGAGGATTCCTATAAGGACTCCACGCTCATCATGCAGTTGCTGCGAGACAACCTCACTCTCTGGACCAGTGACCAGCAGGATGAAGAAGCGGGAGATGGCAATTGAAGATCCCTCAGGTCCCTGGCTCTTTCTTCACCCACTGCCCCTGTCATCACCAACTTTTCCTTGTCACAGTCACTAAATATCTCGTGCTAAACCCATCTGTATCAGCGGCACAGCTACTCAGATCTACTCTCCCATCTCTTGGGGAGCAGGTTCAGACAACCATTCACAAGCATTGCTGGATTGATGGTTGCTTTGAGGCCTCCGGAGCTCAGTTTTGGGTGTTTTTTGGGGTGTGCAGACAAGCTCATTCTGACAGGCATTTCCCTATGCCTTTGGATCCGAAATCCTGGCAGAGGGAATGAGGAAGTTTAGAAAGGCAAATGAGCCAACTGGGGGCCATAATTGATATGTAAACGACCCATTTCAAACAAGCTGATAGTGTTTTGTTAAGCAGTTGTGCATGCAAAAATGATCTCACCCCTCCCCTCACCCCCTTTCTTCAGCTAATGGAAAACTTAAGGGAAGCCAATAACGAAGACAACTTGCTCCTTCCCATCAGCTTTATAATAAACTGTTTAAGTGAAGTTTCAGTAGAGCCTCGTTTTGCCTCTTTAAATTATGTGTGCACAAACCTTTTTAAGCAATGCATCTGAAGTTTTGATATTTGTAACTTTCTTTTTTTTTTTTTGGTGGGGGTTGTGATGGTTTAAAAATCATGGATTTATTTTTTGTAACTCTTTGGCTATTGTCCTTGTGTATCCTGATAGCGCCATGTGTGTTAACCCATGTCAATCAAGATGGGTGATTATGAAATGCCAGACTTCTAAATTCAATGTTTTGGAATCCATGGGTAAATAAAATGCTGCTTTGGGGAATAATATCTCTATGTGTGGTCTGGATTTTTTCCCCCCTCAAGGAACTGTTTGGCTCGTGGCATTTTGAAACCTGGTTTCATTCTGTCAACACTGAAGCATTTTTAGTATAGTTGCTACGCTTTCCTGCCCTCCACTTCTGTTACATGTTTTGTAATACACACATAAGACTTACTAAGATAAGACATCAATTTTTAATAGTTTGTAGTGACTCCAACTGACAGCCTCCGATCAAGCCACTGTTTCTGATGGTTAATTGATATTTGTAAGAGGCCATGAGAAGCCCTGGTGGATTAGTGGTTACACGTTGGATGGCTGACTGCAAGGTCAGCTGCTGTGCTGCGGCTTTCTACTTCCATAAAGACTTGGGGTCTTGGAACCCCACAGAGGCCGTTTTATTTTGCCCTATAGGTTGCTAGGAGTCCGAATCGACTCGATTGCAGTGTTTGGTTAGATTTGAGTTAGCAGACTGTAAAAGGAGCTCTGAGGGACTCATTGGGTAAGGGTTGAGCTGTTCACCACAAGGTTCGGTGCTTCAAACTCACCGGCTGCGATGGAAGCACTGTCTAGGATCATTCTGAGTCAGAATCAACGAGCAGTGGGTTTAGCAGCCCATCATGCTCTTCCCTGTGCAGTACCACTGTTACAGGTGGTGTGGCCATCTGTTGTGCAACCGACATTACTGGAGTGTTGGTTGATATTTAACACTGAGCATGTTAGGTTTTCTTAATGTTCTGTAATTGGATATCAAAAGATAGGGGCACAACCTGGATTTCTGAAAGAATCTTTAGTGAGGATTATGAAAACAATATCCTTTAAAATAGAAAAGACTCAAGGTGGAGTTAAAAAAAAATGTTCTGACCTGTTAAAAGTACCCTCAACTGCCTTCCCTGCAAGGTTTCTCCTGAGGCTCAGCATCACTAGATGATGAAATTGATTGTTGTGCCTCCTCTTTGCAGTGCCCAGGGTTGAACCCACTTGTGTAGATGGGTTGGTCCAGTAACATAAAGGTCTTAAACCATATATATGTATTTAATAAAATTTAGGGGAAGGTTTACAGGGCGAGTTTCTGTTCACATACATACACTCATTGTCTGGGAAACACGGGCAGCTGTACCCTGTCCTGACCGGGTGGTTGTGAGTCGGCATCAACTTGATGGCCGTTGAGTGTCTGCATGTCTTCTGAAAGGTTGGCCCAACTTTATACACAGAACTGTGATGGAGTTGTGGTCCTTGATCTCAGCTGGAGTTCTGACCTATCACCCTTGACACATGTAGCTTTCTTAGTTTTTTGTCCACCATTGTTTGTGAGAACAGCACTATGACTTATGACAATGTCCTAAGAATGTGTAAGGCTGGAAGGTTACCTTCAAGGCCACACCATCTGGGAAAAACAAAGGACAGTCTCCTGGAAAGAGTTAACAGCCTTGAGGATCCAATTAATTAGGGTTGCTATTAGAATTAACTCTGGCAGTGGGCTTGAGTTTTTTGTCTTTTAGACTTAGGTGCAAAGATAATGGACCTAATTAAAAAAAAAATCATTTTATTAGGGGCTCATACAACTCTTATCACAATCCATACATACATCAATTGTGTAAAGCACATTTGTACATGCATTGTCCTCATCATTCTCAAAACATTTGCTCTCCACCTAAGCCCCTGGCATCAGCTCCTCATTTTTCCCCTCCCTCCCTGCCCCCCTCCCTCATGAACCCTTGATAATTTATAAATTATTATTTTGTCATATCTTACACTATCTGACGTCTCCCGTCACCCACTTTTCTGTTGTCCGTTCCCCAGGGAGGAGGTTATATGTAGATCCTTGTAATCGGTTTCCCCTCTCCACCCCACTCTCCTGGTATCACCACTCACACCACTGGTCCTGAAGGGATCATCTGCCCTGGATTCCGTGTTTCCAGTCCCTATCTGTACCAGTATACATCCTCTGGTCTAGCCAGATTTGTAAGGTAGGATTGGGATCATGATAGTGGGATGGGGGGTGGGGGGAAGGAAGCATTTAGGAACTAGAGGAAAATTGTATGTTTCATCGTTGCTACACTGCACCCTGACTGGCTTGTCTCCTCCCTGCGACCCTTCTGTAAGGGGATGTATGGACCTAATTTTAAGTGAATCATTTCAGTCTAAAAATACTTGGTGTGAGGCATCTTTGGTTTGGGAATGTGGGGGCAGGTGAAATGGGAGGAATAATTAGCATAGGTGATAAATAAGATGCAAGCAGGAGCTGTAGATGTGGCATGCACAAGAAAGATGATGTGATTACAGTAACCCAGCCCTGCACACTTTTAAGATGTCTTATCTAGTGCTGCTATTGGAAATGAGCGTGGACAAAAAGACATTTGCTTCAAGGCACTTATTAAAGAATAAGGGACCTGCAGGAGAGACCTACAGGGAGACAGGCCACATACAGGCCAGGTCAAGTTGACCAAGCAAAAGACTTGTAAAAAAAAAAAAGAAAAAAATGTGCTTTTCTTAGAGCAAGCTTTCTGGTTTGACATTGTGCAGGTTTTTTTTACGAGCTCCCGGTCCTTTATTTTACTGGGTGGGCGCATTGTGTGCAGCATGTACAGACTGGAGCCTGCAGCAAGTGTGGGATATTTAGCATCACTAGTTGGACCCGCGCACAATTCCTTTACTTCGAGTTTGAATCCCCGTGAGTTCGTGAGTGTCCTTGCTGTGCATGTCTCTTGCTGTGCATGTCTCTTAAACTGCGTCTTTCAGGAGGAGGACAACTGTGATCCGGAAAACAACCGAGGCATAGACTTTGTAGGTTCCATGAGTTATGACAGTGTCATATTGCCATACTCCTGTTCGTGTCTGTCATGTTTCCCTCAAGGCATATAAACGTAATTTTGACACGTTATTCTCAGCCTGTAGGCTATCCTCTGATACTACAGTTGGCCGACTGTAGCACATTTATTTCCTCGCAGTTTAACCCACTGCCATTGAGCCTTGATTATGACTCACAACAACCCTGGAAGATTTTCCAGAATCCCCACATAGGTTATTAAACCTCCTTTAAATGCTTTTTCATCTTTAACCAAGGACAGCGATAATCCTGCCCTCAGGCAGAATGCCTTGGGGAATGGATTGCCTCCACCCTCTCTGGCCAGCCCTGGGAGGGGCAGTCTCTCCTCCCCACTTGTCTAGGTGTGATCTTGATGGAGGTCAACATTGACCTTGCTCTGCATGGTACTGGGGGTGGCATAGTCAGGAGTCATGTCCTATCAGTTTGGCCCTGATTTTCTTGGAAGGCCCTGAACCAATCTTGTAAGCCCTTCTATCAATATATGTGGTTCAGTCATGGTCCCTAACTCTGCTCCTGTATCCCACCTGTTAACTGTCTACCACCAATCATGCTTTTGTGACAATTTCCTCATTCCCGCCCCCGCCCCCGCC